ATTTAGTTTGTAGTTTCATTTACATGTATCTTGCTCTGAAATAACAGAGCTACAATGTGAGGAATTGTAGCTATCTTTACTTTCTCATCCACAATTCATTATCTAACACCATCCCTACTTCTGATTTCCACCTTAACTATGACACTATAACTGCTCTTCTCTCTAATACCAGTGACCGCCGTGGTCCATTAGCCAAGTCTAACAGACAGTTCTTACCTCTTATTTTCTTTAAGCATAGAGCAACATTTGGCCACTCCTTTATTCTTGAAACCTCGCCTCATTTAACTTCATTTCTTCTGCCTCTTCTATCTTAGTAATCAGTGTCTTGTCTTTGCTGGTACATAATGGAGTACCTGAGATTGTCCTGGATCCTTTTTCTCCTCTTTGTCTCTACCCACTTCTTAGATGATCTCCTGTAAACCTTTGGTTTTAAATACATTGTATATGCTGTGGGCGCCCAAGTTTATATTTTAAGCTCTGACATCTTTAAGTTCCAAGACTTCTATATCCAAACTGCCTACTTGATATGTCTTCTTTAATGTCTCATAAAAATCTCAAACTTGATATATCCAAAAAAATGTTTTGTGTTTTGTTACCTATTTCATTTATGTTCCTCCTTTAGCCTCCCAATCTCAGGAGTTTCATTGTTTCTTAAGAAACAATCATCCACTCCGTTTTTCAAATCAGAGATTGAGGATCCTCATCTGTATTACTTCTCAAATCTACACTCAGCAGCCAGAAGAATTTCTTAAGAACATAGATCATGTCACTTTGACTTTCCTACTAAATTCCTTTAATATTTTCCATTTCTAGTGCAATGACATTGGAACTACTTATCACAGCTTTATTTAATTCATGAGTCTTCATTTGTTCTTCTGCCTTCCTTTCCAAACTCATCTTGACCCTTTCCACAATCAGTCTGTGTGCTTGATTATATTGTTCTGTTTTCTTTTTTATTTCAAGCCCCTTTCATTCACTGGACTTTCACCTGGCTCCTACAACTGCTGGATTGCTATTGCCCCATATTTTTGAAAGGCAAGTTTATTATCATCCTTTAGTTATCAATTTGAAAGTCATGTTCTCAGAGATGCCTTCATAACCACTGAATCTAAGGCAAGTTCCTCATCCTCCATTACTATCTGCTGCTATTTATCACAATCTGTAATCTTTTTTTTTTTTCATGACAGGGACCTCACCTATCTGATTCATAGCATTAACTCAACTCCTTGTGTGGCATCTGCATGTCTAGATAAAGACTCTAGAGGCCCTAAGCATTGATAAGATTGTAGAGCCCTTCTCCAACAAACATTAAGTTTAAAATATATATGAAACTGAAAAATAAGTTTGACGTATAAGCTGATCTTTATCATGATGACTTTTTTGAGTGAATAACTTAGTAAACATTAGAATTTTTCTCATATTTTTGGTGATCCTACTTTGAAGGCACTTTTTCTTAAAATATAGAAGTTTCAAGTGTACAACATCATCATTAGACATCTGTATACACCACAAAGTAATCACCACCACAAGTCTAGTTACCATCCATCACCATTCAATTGACCCCCTATATCCATTTTCCCATCCACCCCCAATCCTCTTCCCCTCTGATAAAAACTAACCAATCTTCTCTGTATCTGTGAGTTTGTTTTTGTCTTATATTGTTTGTTTGTTTAGGTTTCACATATGAGCTAAATCATATTGTATTTGTCTTTCTCTGTCTGACTTATTTCACTTAACATAATACCCTCGAGGTCTATCCATGACATTGAAAATGGCAATATTTCATTCTTTTTATGGCTGAGTAATAGTCCACTATATATATATATACACATATATATATATATATATATATATATATATATATATATATATATTTATATATCACCTCTTCTTTATTCATTCATCCATTTTGAACACTTAGGTCATTTCTATATATTGGCTATTGTAAATAATGCTGCTATGAATATAAGGATGCATATATCTGTTTCCTGGCTGTCTTTGTAGTTCCTCTCTTTTTCTTTCTTCTCTTTCACTCTTCCCTCGTGTTTTGGTGGTTTTCTTTAGTGTTATATTTAGATTCCATTCTCATTTTACTTTGGGTAATTAAGGTTTTTCCTGATAGTTACTGAGGTTAACATATAATATTCTATATAAATAGCAGTCTCTTTTAAGTTGGTAGCAACTTAAATTGGAACACATCACAAAACTTTTATCTTTTTATTTCCCCCCTGTATTTTATACTGTTGATGACACATTTTACATCTTTTTATTATATGCATCCCTTAACTAATTATTGTAATTTAAGTTAATTTTACTACTTTTGTCTTTTAACCTTCATGCTTGCTTTACAAGTGGTTGATCCATTCTATCTTTATTATATATTTACCTTTCCTAATGAGATTTTTACTTTTGTATGTTTTCTTATTATTAGTTCATTTCTTTTCAGCTTAAAGAAGCTCCTTTAACATTTCTTTTAGGTCTGGTTTAGTGGTGGTAAACTCCTTTAGTTTTTGCTTATCTACAAAACTTTTAATTTCTCCTGAGTGATAACCTTGCTAAGTAGAGAATTCTTGTTTGGAAGTTTTTTTCTTTCAGCACTTTGAATATGTCTTGCCACTCACTTCTGAAAAATCTGCTGATGACCCTTATGGGCTTTCCCTTGAATATAACAAGTTGTTTTTCTCTTTGTGCTTTTAGGATTCTCTCTTTATCCTTGCCATTACCATTTTAATTATAATGTGCCTTGGTGTGTGTCTCTTTGGATTCATCTTATTTGGAATAATTTGGGGCTTCCTGGACCTGGATGTCTGTTCCCTTCCCCAGATTAGAGAAGTTTTTAGCCACTATTTCTTCCAGTAGTTTTTCTGGCCCTTTATCTCTCTCTTCACCTTCTGGGAAGAAGGTATAATGAGAATGTTATTCCACTTGATGTCCAAAAAGCTCCCTTAAGGTATCTTCAATTTTTTAAATCCTTTTTTAATTATGCCGTTCTGTCTGGGTGAGTTTCATTGCTTTTTCTTCCACCTCACTGATTCATTGTTCTACCTCATCCTGTCTGCTACAAGACCTCTAGTAAATTATGACTTCTGTTTTGTACTTTCTTTTTTTCCGTCTCTTTGTTGAAGTTCTCATTTTGTTCATCTATTCTTCTCTTGAGTTTAGGGAACATCTCTATGACCATTACTTTGAGCTCTTTATTAGGTAGACTGCTTATCTCCATTTCCTGTAGTTCTTTTTCTGGGGTTTTGTCTTGTTCTTTCATTTGGAACATATACCTCTGCTTCCTTATTTTGCCTAAATGTCTGTGTTTATTTCTATGTATTAGGTAAATCAGCTACCTCTCCCAGTCATGAAAGAGTGGCCTTATGTAGGAGATGTCCTGTGGGACTCAGAAGCACAATCCCACCTGGCCACCAGAGCCAGGTACTCAAGGGGTGTCCCCATTGTAGGCTGCATATGCCTTCCTGTTGTGGGAGGGCCATGCTTGTTGATGTGGCATGCCCTGGCCAGCTGTGAGGCCTGGGCAAAGCTGAGGGATGGGTGTAACTCTCATCAGGTGTGCCCATTGGAGGCGGGGTTAGAAGGAGAATTCCAGAATGGCACCCACCAGCACTGGCATTGGCAAGGTAGCCTGAAAGTGCAAAAATTGTGCCTGCCAGTGTCTTAGTCCTTGGGGAGCATCCCAACTGATTCTTCCCTCTCTGGTAGTTGCTTTAAGGTTAGTGTGTGCCCTTCACCTACGGTCTATGCACTATTCAGTCTGATGTTTTTGTGCTGGTTTTCAGGTTGAGTGAGTCTATGCACTAGATTTTTAAGAGCGGGTTTTCCATTCCCTGCAGTTCTATAGTTTTTCTGGGCATATTCCCTGTCGGTTTGGTTTACAATGCCAGGTTTTAGGGGCGCATCTCTCCTGTACAAGACTTAGGGGTTGGGGTACCTGATGTGGAGCTCAAATTCCTCGCTCCTCAGGGAGAAGATCCATACCTTTGTAACCCTTCCCAATTGTGGATCACTGCTGCTGGGGTGTTTTTTTTTTCCCCTTGGTGATACCATGTCTCTGCCTCTCCTACCTGTCTTGATCTTTGTTTTGGAGGCACTCTTCATCCAGTTTTCAGGTCCCTTTTTGAAGGAATTATTTTATATGTAATTGTAGATTTATTGTGTTTGGGGGAGGAGGTGAGTTCAGGATTTTCCTATGCCGCCATCTTGAACCTTCTCCTGATAGCACTTTAAATAAGTACTTAGGTTATCTTGTAGGTATTCTTATATTACTTAACAAATAGTACTTTATTAACAAATGAAGAAATGAGTGAATGGATATTGTAAATTTGATTGCAACATAAGGATTCCTAGTGCTTCCTGATATCTTGGGAAAAGAAAACTGCTCAATTCTTATATTCAGGAAGTCTCTTTTCAGGTCGAAGTCTCAAAACGTCTTATCAGGTATGTTTTTAATTCATGTAGAGTGGGACAAAAGCCTTGATGATCAACTGAAAATTGGAAATATAACAACTTTGCTGCCAATCAAAGATGGTGTGGAAGATGGAGAAACTCATAGGGGAAAAAGGTTTATGGTGAAGGAAGTTGCTGTCTCTGCTTTTACTGTTGCAACTATTACTTTTCTGGATATTATAAAGGAAGTAATTGAAGAAGGAGGCTATTCATAAGAGGAGAGGACGATCCTGGATTTAAGGCTACAAAGGATAAAATTTCCATTACTTTAGGACACTGTGCTGATTATTACTCCTACGGAAGACTTTTACTTTTATTTTGATAAATACAGTTTTATTAAGGGATTGGTCTTCAAAAGTTTGCTGCATACCCGTTACTTAGTCAACTCCAAAAATTGAATAATGATGTTTTTAGATAATATATCATCATTGCTTTTCAAAAGGAGCTCAATGCCTTTTATCTCAAGGACAATTTTAGTTTCAAGATTCTTCTTATCCCCACCATTGTTTCTCACCACCCACCATCTGTTGTGAATATTAGTAAGGATAATCCCTTCTCAGCCTTTTGGCTAAGATCAAGTGTAGTATATTAGTAAGGATATGCACTTGCTTTTTGCCTTCCTTTAGTATTCCAATTTCTAAAGAAAGTAGAGATCCTGGGAGATATTGCCATTTTTCAGGTTTATTACCTAGCAAGTGTTTTTGACAGACCAATTACAATTTTGCAAAACAACATTCTTATATTAATATAAAATTGGAAGTCCACCATAGAAAATGTCTTCAGTAGGGCTGATAAACATAAGAAATAGGTAAGGAATATGGACATGGAGAGAGTGTAGCATGTCTTTTGCCTTTTCATTATTTACACCTTCTATGGATTTGCTGTGGCGAAAGATTCATCTTGCCATATTCAAGAACCTTATAAGTCAGCTTTGACATAGAAGATGAAGTAAGTTCTTCAGTTTCATAAGGAAGATATTTCTGTTGATGATCTTTCTACACTGAAACAGCATAATGGATGAAAGAAAGTGAAACATAGCCCAGAATGAAGAAATGTAAATATACAAATTAATCACATCTGAAATAAAAGGCAGGTATATTTTATTGTTCATTTTGGTCAATTTCTGTGAGTGGCTGGAAGAGGGACAACACTGTAAATCTGCTCCTGCATTGCTATCTTTCCAGGAAGACTTACTCACAGTTCAGAATCCAGACTGAAATAGAGTTCGTTATTCTTTTTACAGCATCACTGCAGGTGTTCCTTGCCTTTTAAACCTAATACCCTACTACTAACATTTAAGTTTATAGTACAAATAAACATAAGATTGATTATTTGCATTACAAAATAATATATGATTTTTAACAAGATTCTTCTATATAATAAGTCCTCCTCCAAAGTTCACAAAAAATGGGAATCAGTTTATCAAATGTTAATTATTCAACCTTTCAGGATCATAACTATTATGCTTTCTGTGAGATAAACTTGCTTTTGGAAATAAATACCTTCAATGCTTGGCACTTTTCCTAAAGAAAAATAGCAATTACTGAGAACAAGTTACTTAACTATATAGTTCAGCAAGCTGTCATGTTTGTAGGTAATAAAGGCTTAAATACAATCCACAGCTTTCCTAGGGGCAAGCAGAGTTTCCTCTTTGCTGAAGTAATATGATCAGATATTCTAGGTTTTGTATGCTTTTAGACATTGCCAGAGTTTGTACTAGCTGTAAGCAGCTAAGAGTAGAGGTGACAGGTAGACCAGAATATAATGAATTGTAGTAATCCTAGCAAGAAATAACGGAAGCACATCTGAGGGTTTTTCTGTCCCTGGGAGACGCAGTAAGATATACTCTAGAAAGGCTCCTAGGATGATAATAAGATGACTGTGCAACCTGATTAATATGGACCTCAAAAACAAAGCACAGACTAAAATCAGTTCAGTGTTATGAGCCCTAAGACATTGAGGAGGATATACTAGATGTCAGAGGGAAGAACTAAAAAGAAATATAAAGATTGATGTTGAGGAGACCCTATGAGTAATAATTTAGTCTTGTCTACATGTAACTTTAAAAAGTTGGATGATATCTAAGCCTGAATTTCAGAGAGACCATTATGTGGCATGCAGAAAGCCATCATAAGGCCCATGGGGATGGGAAACAGACCGGAGTGTGTCATCTGTGCTTATCTGACACAGAAATATATTGGTTCTAAAACCAACATTCACAATAAATAAGCAGACACAAACTTATATTTCATATATATATATATATATATATATATATATATATAAGCAAGGCAACATATTAAAATTACTATTCTTTTTGTTTCATGTAAATACAAATATATACTGTCACTTAAAGGACACAGTCCTACCCTCAAAAAGCTTATATTTCAAACAGTTACAATGTAAATGGTTTCCAATTATAGTTTACTTTTTTTTTTTTTCCCCGCGGCATGTGGGATCTTCCCAGACCGGGGCACGAACCAGTGTCCCCTGCATCGTCAGGCGGACTCTTAACCACTGCACCACCAGGGAAGCCCTAGAGTTTACTATTAAATTGCCCTATTTTTTTTACTTTTGTTTTTCAGAATATCCTATGTGCTTTTAAGCTATTTTTCCCTTGGTAATTTTTCAGATTCAAAAAGAGTTAAGAAAAGTGATGTTTATAGAATAATAGAGGCTGTGATATTGAGGATTATAGACACCTATAATCAATGGACTATTAAGTGCCAACATTTAAAATAAATATTTATTTTAACAGATTAAACATTCTTATATAAAAACTGCGGTGCATTAAAAAATGTTAAACAATCCAGTTTTGTTTTTCCATAACAGGTGGGAACTAAATCTAGAAAGATTCTTGGAATAGAATACTGAACTTGTAATGATAAGTTTGTTTTTGCACAGGGAGTTGTGTGTTAGAGGATAAGAGCTGTGTCCACAGGACAGAAACATGCAAGGAAAGCCAGATTTGATTAGTCTTCCGGATGCTGGCTGCTAACTATTTCGTTTTCTCTGGGTGGACATAATTTTAAAATAGTGGTCTGAAATAGCTATAGAATGCCAAATAATAATTTTAAAAATTAAAAAATTTTTTTCCTATAAGCTTTATTTCAACTATCAAATTTTATCCAGTTTCCCTCACGTACTCTAAAACTGTTCTCAGATAGCAGTGAACTTTGCGTATTCTTAACTAGGCCACATTTAATATAGAAGCATATTTTTAGATTCATTCTTCTCAACTTTTACTTATGAATCTCCTAATGTGAGTTATTCTTGAGTTCTACCCCAAAGAGCAAAAATAATGCTATTTCTTAATCTTACCCCAATAGTAATGTGTATATATATAAATATTTATATATATAAATAAAATTTACATATATAAATTTTCATAAGCCAACACATTTAACTTTTTGACAATGATGGTGATTAGCTAAATTTCTAAATTTTCCTTCTTTTACAGGCCACATTTTATTGACATTTTCAGAAACCTCTTAAGTAGCACAATGTGGTACATTATTTTAATGCCTCTATAAGAATCCTTGTGTAATTTTATATACTTCCTGCAAGTTATACATTTATATTTGTAAGTTCTTGTTCAACCTGATTCATGGTCATGTGGTTCATACATATTAAAAAGCATGAAGTTCCACTGATTTTATTTATATTTTAAATTAGAGATTTCATTCCATTTATATATTTTATGAAAATGCTTACATGGTACTAGTTTAACTTAAGTAAGTGGGCAGTCAGTTGCCTAGTACAGCCACTTGTTTAGGAAAATGATAGTCATTTATGCTTTAGATACATTTATATGCAAGATGTAATCACAGAAAGGGTCACCAAACCTGTTCTTTTCACTGTAATTGAATTTCCAATTCATTTAGGGATGACTGATTTAATGCCTAAATGAATACTCTAACTTTGGTAGCAAACTACTCATCATGACAGCAAGTAGTTTCTTGGTCTGTTTAGAATATGTCAAAATTTATGTGGCATTGCATGCACAAAGATGAAAAAAATAGAAAAACATAATCTAAGGAGAATGGAGCATACATTGTATTATGTGATCTTCAAGTTTTCGAATCATATGTGTTATGAGTCCAAGAATTAAACAAAAACTGTAACTACTATGTTTCATGTCTATACCATACCTTTTAACTTCATATTTTCAACTACTGTAACTATGCTGCTATTTTATAACAGTTGTGCCAATTTAAAAAATTAAGAAATATTATATGCTTGCCATTTGAGCTAAAAAAAATGGCCCATTTTTAATACTGAAGTAAATTAATTCTTCTGAGAAAGCTGTGGATTATATTTAAGCTCCTTGTTAATTATGTTAATAAGGTTAATCATGGTTCATATCATTACAGACAAGTGTGAGTTCCTAAGCAAAACTAGAGGAACATCATCTTATATATTTTCCCAGTACTTTATAATATCTTCCAAATGAAGATAATTCAGCAATAAAATTGTTTCAAACAACTGATCCCACAATTTTGTTATGTAATAATAACAACCAAACGATTTCTACCTAACATTTACAAGGTTTTTTTTAAAAATACATGCATACTTTATCTAACATTTTACTGTTGCAATTAATAAAATATGGTTTTAGGCCAAAATAGGGTACGTGGAAAACCTGAAACAGGGGTGCACACTTTAATTGGTTGAGTAGTAAGTGGTTCATTGCTTTCTTATCCTTTATCCATTATTTATCTATTTTGAATGACTTTTTGTTTTAAATGTTCTGTGATTCCTTTTGCAGGAATGATGCCTTTTGAGCTAAAAGTTTGAAATGTAAAGAGAATGACCACATATATATTATATCACATTATCATGTATTTTATCCCAAACAGTTTTACCTCCCTCTCCATTAACACAATCCTTTCTTTTGTTGTAAGAATTAGCACATGTTTATACTTACAAGATTAAATTTATTTTGTTAAAAACAAGTAAAGTTATATCCAGGTTTTTTTTTTTTTTTTACGGTACGCGGGCCTCTCACTGTTGTGGCCTCTCCCGTTGCGGAGTACAGGCTCCGGACGCACAGGCTCAGCGGCCATGGCTCACGGGCCTAGCCACTCCGCGGTATGTGGGATCTTCCCGGACCGGGGCACGAACCCGTGTCCGCTGCATCGGCAGGCGGACTCTCAACCACTGTGCCACCAGGGAAGCCCTATCCAGGATTTTTAATAACATTTTTCAAAATAAAGTCCCAATTAGGCCATTGACCCCCTTTTAATTAAGATAAAAATTTGGAAAAATTTGGTTTCTCTTTTAAATGGTTTTGTTCTCAATGCCTTTTTTTCTGAATCAATTGTCCTGTGATAAAAAAGATTTCTGATATTTTTGCACTCTAAGAAGCATCCACTTAGAATAAGGAAAGAAGGAAATGGAGTTAACATATATTGAATTCCAACTTTTCTTACTTAATCCTTACAACAGTCATCTTATTAAGCATTATTGTCATCATTTTATTTTTCTGGAAAATGAAGTTCAGAGATATTAAATAATCTATCTGAGATCACACATTTAGCCTGTGAAAAAGTTGGAATGCAAGCTCTGGTTGCCCAGATTCCTCTTTGCCAACCTTCAGCTTTGGGAAGGTTTGGGAAGCTTTGGGAGGAATCTGCAGGAGCAGATTCTTGGTCCCAGGTGTCAGAAACATAAAGATGCTATTATTGTGATTCATAATCCAGTAAAAGTTAGCAAGCCTGACAATATTAGAAA